ATTTTTTCAAATATAATATCTCTGGAAATGGGATTCAATGATATTTTTAATATAGTGCTGCTTTGCTATTAACATCTATAATATCTAGAAAAGATTAGTGTACAAGATACATTTTCAGTTTTGTATCAAAAGCAATATGGAGAATCAATCAGTAACAGGAATTTTGTTGGATCTTTGACACATGGCTGAGTTATTTGTATTGTTCTGCGAATAATATGCAAAATCTGAGAATAATGATKACAAATCTTATAGCAATTAATATTTAAGAATTCATTTGTTTTTCACTGAAAATCAAGCACTATTACAGTTTTTTCCATTGTGAATTAATCCACTCGCCATTAGCAACTCCCACCACAGAATCCCAATGGACAGTATTGCGTGCATGCCTCCCTTGACTTTCTCGTATGTACATACCCTGATTGCGGCAGCTCTCGACAAAGAAAAATACGTCTACAGTTTTGGCTTGGTGATTGACACTCTGCACATGTCCATGCCAGATTTCATTTTGTTCACCCTGGATAAGGACCATATCCTTTTCGTTGCAATACACAGGGACAACAACTTCAGAAAGTAACTTCTTCATATGCCTTTGATAGTCTACTACCAACCAACCATCAGTACAGTGAAAAAGAATAGCTTTCCTTTGGACTTTTTGCAATGGAACTAGAGCAATTTCAAGTGGATGGGTCTGAACCTTTACAAAACCACTCAAAATGTCCTGGGCCACAAAACCTTCTTCTGTGAGCTGAAATTTATATTGTGACCCAAGCAAARGTAAAGTAGAACTTGAATGACCAGGGAGTCTAACAGATAGAAAATTGTCTATTTTCACAACAAGTTCCTCCTCACTCACATTGATGATGACAGTATCACCTTGATCAAAATTAGACTCTGTAAAATCATTGTTATTAATGAATGCTTTCTTTGACATTAAACATGATGGTGGAACATCACAAATAGGAATGTGCAATGCATTTCCGATGAGCTCTTTTTCTGGCATTGATAATTCTTTTATATTTGCCTTCGGTGTACCCAGGAGGAATAAATCATTTGATGGGTCTTTTGTGGATTCTCTTTGAGCAGCCAAAATAGAACTAGCAAAACCCTGAAACAAAGACAATGTAAAGCTATAAAATCTCACAAAAAATTAAACATTAGAAATGTTTTCATTTATATAACAGAACAAAATCTGAAGTCAAAGTATGACTAAAACTTGTGTTGATTGCTGCCAATCAAAACAGTTTTTTCAAAAACAAATTGTATGGTTAAACATTGTTTTGTCTTTGTTCGTGTTAATCCAAAAATGTTATGAGAATATTGTGCTTTAGAGGATGTGCTTCTTCTATAGACAATCCAAATATTTTTTAGACACATGTCTGAATAAGGTTAGGTATCAATTAATTGTGTGTGTTGTACAGAAGCTCATTCTAGCTTACCAGTTCCTTGCTTATATATCCTGACACAACTTCATCTTTCTCACCCAAGGATTTTAGAAATTCTCGTCTCTGTTCAGATTGAGCAAATGTTGATTCAATCCCTTTACAGTTGTGAGACAATTTAACATACTGCTTCACAGCTCTTTCAAATGTAGCGCACCAATAATTATCAGGTGCTGAAAATGTATTAATGTCTTCATGTATGTGCACAAGGTTGTGTAATGATATGGTACACATATGCAACCCTTGCAATTCTTCAACAAGAATGTTCAACTTCCAAGCTAAGTTCTTATGAAGGTCAATCATGTTCTGATTCCACGCTCTTCTTCCGCTAACGAAATGCATTTCAGTAAGCCTGGAGATTATTGATTGAATTTCTAATTCTTTCTCATTGGTGATGATGTCCCTAAATATACAGTCTGCCATGGGAAAAGAAAACTTCCTTAAACCTTCTGCTTTCCAATGACCTGGCCCTGAACATTTTCCAAGGGGAGTAGGTATTCTTCCATTTTGTAGACCCTTTGTCCATGGAAAGCCTTTTATTTCAGCATCCAAGAGAGATTGGTCAATAACTTTCTGCTCAAGAAGTCTTTCAAGCTGGTTTTTTACCACGTTCAAAGGTATTGTATGAAAAATATCATACGTTAAATGCKTTAAGATGTCAAATTCATAAAGTGGATAAAGATATTTGTGGAGAATACTTGTCCCAGTGAAGCCTTTTGCTGAACTCAGGGATTTTCTAACACTTACTCTATTTTCATTATCAATGTTGAGCATATCATCTATAGAAGATTTAATGGATCTTTCTTCCCAAGGATATCTGTAATGATAACGATTTTCACCGTAATACATATGTGTATTTGAACTGTTTTGAAGTTGCTGGCCAACCAGTTTGCATCTTCTGCAGGGGCAACATCCTTGGTTTAAAATCTTGCCTACCTYGCATTGGCCAGGATGGTCACCACTCCAGCACAGAAGTAGGATTCTAACAGTTTCTTCATCACAAACAAAATAATCATCAACTTGTACATCACGAGGATAACATACTTTAAAGCCATTGATAAACCCTTCACAAAGATCAGTCATAAGAGGCTTTAGAAATGGATCAAGTGTTTCAGGTAACTTGGGAACTTCTGAACTTGGCACAAACCCTAAAACATATACTTCAGCTACATGGTTCCTGTCATTCTTGGTCATGTTTGCGATTGTGACTTCGATAGAACCACATCCTTTATAACTTGTGCCAAATGGCTGCCACCCATCCCAGTGGCCAATGAGTGCTAAGTTTAAAGGTGAACCATGTGCAGTCTTGATAACGTGCTGAAAATCATTGTAGCAATTGGGACAATCCACATGTTTTGCACCAGATACACTATCTTCAGATTTAAGTAAGTGATCGGCAGATACAGGTATTTCACAAAATGGGCACATAGTTGGTAATGGCCAGGCACTAGTAGGATCCCAGAACCATTTGAGCTCTACCCATCTATCTCCATCCCAAATTTCAGTTTTTTGAGCATTGCTTATATCAGATCTAAGCCAATTGTCTCGAGCGTACCAGTGAGAGAGCATTTTTTTGCACATTTCTTTGTTTTTAAACCAGTTTTTGATTTTCGTGTGGAGACCTAGATAGTAGTACTTGATATATCCTTTTTTTTGGCAATAGCTACACAATTCATGCTTGCCCTCCATGACACTGAATTTTCCTGTGTAGACCATTTTTTTATTTGTTTTGCCTTTTCTTTTATATTCCTTTTCCTCACCACAAATACAAATATAATACAACTTTGCATCTTCATATCCCTCTTCCCTTAGCAATTTTTGCACTGAGTTCCAGTTTTTGGGCCACAAAGCTAATATAATTTCCCGATCAACACTGGTGTTATCGATTCTGGCTAGAAGAAGATTTTTTCCATAGTTTAAAATGTCTTGGAATGTTTTGAGAGATGCACCACTGTCCCTGGTTATGGAGAGAGCATCTATAACTGCGTTGATCACCAAAGTTTTCAAAGGGTTGCAGTCTTGGTTGACTGAATTAGAGCGACCAGCATCATTAATAATATCACTCTCTTGTTGTTCAACATCATGCACTTCAACATTTTCTTCTTCGGAAACTCCAGGGAGAATTATTTCTTCGTCAGGGACAACAAAACGAACGCACGATTCAACCAATGATTCACGATCTTCACGAAGCTGTGGTTCATTTCTGAGCGCTCTAGATGCAAGTTGTGAATCTTTCCAATGGCGAAATTCACTATGCCGATCAACAGCTTTTCCATTACAAGACTGGCAAGGGCAATGGACGTGGCGGTATGATTTATCGGAACAGTTACAAGATGAAATGTCGCTTCTTTTCCACACTATACTGCAGTCCGCCATGACACCCRAATAACACAGGAAACCCAAAGCACTTACACAAATATAACGTTTAGAAAATTATGTTGAATATGATGATGATAATAGAACATATACTATGCATTATGAAAAAAAAAAGAATTCAAATCGCTAACGAAAAATATGGTTGTCATTCGCCGGTGTGCATGTTTGTATTTGTTTGTATTGGACTTCCTGTGTTTTATTTACAATCGAGGAAGACTGAACATCTAAATGGCATCTAAATGGTTTCTCAAGTCTGTCAATCGATCTAAACCAATCACAATTTTTTGCGGGAAAAGCTGACCAATRAAAAGGAAGAATAGTTTGAAGCGCGAAAATAAACCAATCAAAAATAAGATTCCAGCGAGCGAGGTACGGGAATGTTGTGATAACGAAGGCCATTTTGTCCTGTTCCTTTGTATGAGTTCTGGGCGGTTTTCTTCAACGATGACTTCTGTTGATAGTAACGAGTCTAACCAAAGTAATGATGATAACAACCTGCATGCTAACAATGGCAATTTATCAGACGTAATCACAAAGAAGCTGGAGGAGCTGTTTGATGAAGCTATTGTGTCCAAATTTAAAGGTATAAAAGAACACTCTTCTTAGATAAGCTTTAATAAGCATAAAATTTAACCGCCAAAATGATTTCAATTTTTTTGTAATACAGACGAAGATGTTACATATAAAGAAGCCATCCAAGACTTACTTTCAAAAGAGGCAGATTCGCCAATTTACACAAAACTGGGTCTCAATTATGGTAAAGCCATTCGCTTTAGAAACGAGTTTTCCAA